CCATTTATGAGAAAAACCCTACAGAAAACTGAAATAGTCTCTATCTCAACCTTATAAAAGCCATCTATGAAAAACCAATAACCAACATCATAAATAAATAGTATGATGACAAAACTTGAGAACTGTCACTCTAAAATCAGGAACAAGAGAAACGTTTTTCACTTAAGAGTATGGAGTTACTCTTAAGTAACTTGTTACCAAAGTAAGGAGTTAAATTATCCTTATTTGCAGATGATATGATCCTCTACATAGAAGTCCCCAAACTCCACCAAAAGACTTCTAGATTCAATAACCAGTTTCAGTTCAGTTAGTGTAGCTGGTTACAAAATCAATACTCAAAATTCAATAGCTTCCTATATATGAAAAACAAACTCAATGAGAGCGAAGTTAGGGAAATAACACTTTTTACAATAGCATGCAGAAAAATGAAATACCTAGGACTTTTATCACGAAATTAGATTGAGTCATCTAATGAAGAAAATAAAAGACCTCTACACTGAAAAGTACAGTATTCTGAAGAAGGAGATTGAAGAGGGTATCAGGAAATAGAAAGCTATTCCTACTCTGGGTAGGAAATATACATATAGTGAAAATGGCTATACTTCCGATATAACTATACAGATTTAAAGCAATCGTGATCAAAATGCCAACCACATATCTCATAAAATTAGAGAAAACAATACTAAAATGCATTTGGAACTAGAAGAGACCTAGAATTGTAAAGATAATTCTGGGCAATTAAGACAAGGCAGGGGCATCACAATCTCTGACTTAAAACTGTACTACAAATATATTATGATAAAAAAACAGACCCAAGGAGCAGTGGAACAGTATGTAATAGTTATCTCTTGGAAAGAGCCCAAATGCCCATCTACTGATGAATACATAAGGATGATATGGGGTTTTTTTATTTTTATTTTTTATTTTTTGGGTTTTTTTTAAAAATATAGAAGGGAATACTACCTCTGTCATGAAGAAGGGTAAGCTTGAAACATTTCTACGTAGGATGCAACTGGAGACCATCCTCTTAAGTGAAATAAATCTGACACACCTGTTTAAAAATACATTGTTTCTCTGGTGTGAGAAACTGAAAGTTTAAATAAAGACCAAAATGCATAATAAATATTGGGGGAAAATGTTCAAATGAGATGGGGAACTGGATAGGAGGAGGAAGGAAAGAAAAAGAAAAAAAGTGAGAAAGGAAGGAAAAGATGGAAACAAATCTTTTATAAATAAGGAGGGGAAGAGGGGTTGAAGGGAGAGGAGAGGAAAAGGAAAAGAAGAAGCAAGATGTATCATGTACAGGTACAAATTCCCTACACTGAATTATATAAATATATGTATATATAATGTATGTATATATAATTTACAAACAAAAAAATGCAACAAAAAGTATCAGCACAGCAAAGGAAACAACTAAGAAAAACATCAACCTACAGAATGGGGAAATTTTTTGTCAGGTATTCATCAGACAGATGACTAATATCTAAAATATATGTAAAGAACTCAAATGTGGGGACACATGCCATAATCCCAGCACTCAGGACCTTGGGGAAAGAAGATGATTGCAAGTTCAAGGTCAGCCTGGGCTACAAGCAAGACCCTGTCTCGACTCCCCACCTCCACAACCCCCCCAATAAGATTTCCTTAAAACAAAAGACTGAATAAAAAAATGAGCAACTGAAATGAAGAGACATTTCTCAGAAGAAGGACAAATGGCCAATAAATATATGAAAATTAATAGGTCTGGTTATTAAGAGAAATGTAAATTAAAACAATACTGAGGTTCTACTTTATTCCAGAAAGAATGGCTATCATCAAGAAATCAAATATCAAGTATAATAGAGGCTTTGAGAAAAAAAAGAGCCCCTTTCCATTGTTGTGGCAATGTAAACTAGTATAACCAGTATGGAAATCAACATGCGCTGATTTAGTTTTTTGAGGGGGAGATAACTGGCTCCAAAAAACTAACACTAGAGATTCCATTTGATCTGAAGGGGAATAAATATTCCCCTTCTAGTTATCTTTCTAAGAGAGAGAAAGAGATCATTTTTTTGTCTTGAATTTGCCATGATCCTCCTGCCTCAGCCTCCTGAGTGCTGGGATTACAGGCATGTGCCACCCACCTGGTTTTTTGGTTTTTTGGAGACAGGGTCTTACTATGTAATTTAGGCTGTCCTTGACTAGCTTAAACTAGCCTTGAACACATTGGCAATCCACTGCCTTGGCCTCCCAAATAATGGAATGACACGCATGCACCAACACAACCACTTGCCTGTGACATTTTTAAGGCATAGTAAATCTTATCTATTATGAGAGTCAAAAAATGTAAACACAGGAGCCAGGAGACAGGAGAGGGATGCTATCAGGACAATTACAACGTTAGGATTTAGCCTGGGGTGGACTGTGTCCCTATTTACTTTCAATGTATTAGTGAAACAACAGAAATTATGCTTGGAGGTGTTGAAAAGGAAGAACTGTATTATCAGCCAACTTTTGTTGGGTGACTACCATGCTCTGGGATAGGTATTGTAGCATAACGTCTATCTTCAAGGGTCTAGGGCAGTGATGGTGGACCTATGGCATGCACGCCCCCGCAGGATGTTTGTGTCACTGAAGGCTCTAAAGGGTTCGCCATCCCCCGTGGTGGTTTCTCCTTGAGTACACTTTCATCAGTCACTGTTACTCTCATAGGGAAGGGTGGAGAGAAGAAAGGGATGGAAAATGAAATCACATGTGCTAAGTGAAGGAGCCCGACTGCCACCATTCTAGGCTTACAGGGGACTACTTTAAGCCTCTTCCATCCTGCTATGCTTTTACACCACATGTGATCATGGGTTAATAAGGCCCAGAGGCCGCGGCTACACCCGTACCTCTTCAGCCCTGCTCTTGGCAGGCGACCAACATTCTCCGTATTTCTCAAGCCTTGTCCCTGACACGAGGGAGCCACAACTCCTTTTCCCTGAACTCTCCTCCCTGAAAGGGCCATTTTGAACTTTCCCCTTCACAGCTCGCCCCTTATGCTCATGACCGCGTGAAACCTCAAGTCTGTAGGAAAGTTACCGATCTGGTCCGAGTGGTCCTTCTCAGTTTGTCCTAAATAAATCTGTCCTGTTGACTCATGCCTTTGTTTTTTTCTCCTTTTCCCCTAACATTATGTACATGTACCGACTCTCCATGATGAAGGCAATCATTATATGCTGCAAACATGCACTAATACAAATAAAACTACCATTTTTACTGTCATAGAGATGTGCTAAAAATAAATAGAAATTCTGAAATAATGCAGGTTTGTTAATTTCCTTTCCTCCCTCCCTCCCTTTTTCTTTTCTGTACAGGGGATTGAACCCAGGAGTACTGAGGTACATCCTCAGTACTTTTTAAACTTTTTTTTTTATAAGATTCTGAAAAAGGATTTCCCTAGGTCACTAAGTCATTCAGGCTGGACTTTATTCTTGATTTGATCCTCCTGATCCTCCTGCTTCAGCCTCCCAGAATCCTGGGATTACAGGTGTGTGCCAGCACATCTCACTCAAATATCCGTGAGTTAGGTGTGGTGGTGCATGCCTGTAATCTTGGCACTTAAAGGTTTAGGTAGGAGGATCCCTGTGGATTTAAGGATAGCCTGTGCTACAAAGTTGAGTTCAAGGTCAGCCAGAACTACATAGCAAAAACCTTGTCTTATAAAGACCAAAAAAAAAAAGAGAGGCCAGGGTTTAGCTTAGTGGCATAAGCGCCTGCCTTGCAAACATGGGGTCATGAGTTCAATCCCTGGTACTGATTAAAAAATAAATAAAAGAAAAAGGATATAAAAAAAGGAAAAGTTGAAAAGATACCCTTAAATATGAGATTCTCCATGCTTCCTGAATATTGGGATTACAGGCCACCACTCCTGGTGCAGTTTGTTAACTTCTCATGACAGGCTAGAAAGAACCACAAGAAATTCTAGAAAGAACCACAAGAAATCCTAATCCTGGCCAGGCATAGCAGTACACATTTGTAATCCTAGAATGTGGGAGGCTGAGACAGGAAGATTGCTACAAGTTCAAGGCCAGTCTGGACTATGGAGGGAGTTTAAGGCCAGCCTGAAATACATAGCAAGACCGTCTCTAAATAAATAATGAAATGAATTGAGGTGGGTTCATGAACAACAATATAGGAATCCAAGCAGCCAAATTGATAAATCTGAAAATTAATAGCTGAGCTAGGACCACTCATATACAGACCCCCTGTTTCAGAGTCCAAACAAGTGGTCCCGAACTGGAAAGTTACAGAGTTTTTAAAACAGAGAACCACAAAAAGGCATCCTGTTGGAAATAACTTAGCTAGAATCTTACATTAATTTTTGATTGACACCTATATCCTGCTTCTTTTGTCGAGCAGGTTAATTTTTCTCTTGTGGGTACAGCTCATTCTGCTTTTCTCATGGGATTGTACTCTAAGTAATTTTCCATTCTCCTGAGTCAAATACAGGGCACGAGTTACATGCAAGGCTCAAGATGGCATCAGTTACGCCAAGCTAGAACATAAATAAATATAGTCCTATCTTCATGAAATCTGGAAGAAAGGCTTTATAAGTAAAAAGGGTCACTATCATTATTATATTACTTTCTAGTACTATTTCAAATCTAGAAATGCCAGAGACATACCATATAAAAATAGCTTGAAAATTATGATGTGGTTGTATTTCCAGTTAATACAATTACTTTCTAAATAATATTCTGGGTCAGGGATGTAGCTCAGTGGCACAACACCTGTCTTGGCAAGCATGAGGCCCTGAGTTCGATTACCAGTACCAAAAAAAAAAAAGAAAGAAAGAAATATGCAAACGAATTATAGCACTTACACTATGCAAAGATTAAAAAAATGAACTTTTCAAAGATTAAATAATGTGAGGAAAATGCTTTGTGATATATAGCAAAAAAGCTAGCTTAGATATAAAGAGTTCTAGTTTTGCTAGAAATAGTTAAGTATATAGAAGGAAACAAATAGTTGGATGGTGAGATTGCAAATAAATTTATTTCATCTTGAAATTCTTTTTGGATAAAATAAACACTTTGAAGAAATGGTGCAGTTTCTAATATTTGAGGCTTGTGGTACATGAGGTCTCAATTTAACATGTATCATAATAAAAATCCTTTCATGACAGATGTCACAAAGCTGATGTAGACACAAGACAAAAAGTGGTAACCGAAAAGGAGGAAACTCCATTTAACTCCCTGCGTAGTGTATACGTTATGATGTATCCCTGCCTGCAAGTAGTTAATACAGCTCAATAAATAACATGTATACATCTACTTCTGTCTTATTACTAAATCATACCTTGAGAATAACTAGAAGTGTGAGCAGGATCACCTATTATGTCCATTGGTAATGGATTGTAGGATTCCCAAGAGTGTTTCTTCATCAGCTCTCCCTTGTCACTGCACGAGGATGATGACGAAGACAACCCGAGTCTAACGTATCTTCCTTTTTTACCACAGAGTGAGCAGTCTACTGGTGTGGCACTAGGTCCCCGGGGAAGCTGAACTTGCTCTCTGTTGTAGTTTCTGACGGCTCCACTGTGATGTACAGAACGTTCTCTTTGCCAGATATAATGGGTTGGTGCGATGGCCATGACCTATAGTGGAAAGCTCACTTTTATATTTTTGTAGAATTAGAGCAAAAATTGTAACTCAGAAAAGCTGTTTCTGACTCTCAGATAATAATCAAACTCACCAATTTAGACAGTAACAAAATAGCTCCAGATAATACCATATTACCATAAAGCGAATGATTGCTTGAATCATTAAGACAACAATTGACAAAGTAAATTATTTCAAAAAGCAAACAATGCAGCAATCTTGCAAGTTTTTAGGGTGCTTAATTTAAAAAAATTCTGGCCAGACATGGTGGTACACACCTGTAATCCCAGCACTGGGGAGGCTGAGGTAGGAGGATTGCCGTGAGTTGGAGCCCATCCTGGGCTACATAATGAGTATGGGACCAGACTGAATTACAGAGTGAGACATAGTCTTAAATAAATAAATAAATGTCTCAATATTCTAATCACAGGGAAGGCTCAAAAGAAGATGTACTTCTCTGAGACTGAGTCTCATTCTGTATTTCAGGTTGGTTTTGAACTCAATATGTAACCTAGGCTGGCCTCAAATTCACAGCAACCCTCCTGTCTCAGCCTCCTACGTGCTGGAACTACAGGCATGCTACCATGCCTGGCTTTTTTTTTTTTTTTCAAGACAGACTGGGTGTTGTTGTGTAGTCTTTTATGACAAATTTTTTTTTTTTTTTTAGATACAGTCTCATTATGTTGTGCAAACTGGCATTGAATTGGCTTATATAGCCCAAGGTGGTCTCAAACTCATGGTGATCTGCCTGCCTCTGCCTCCCAAGTACTAGGGTTACAAGTGTGCACCTGCACAAGAATACATAATTCTTAATTATGGAATGTGTTGGGTTAAAAAAAACTGGAGGTTCCCAGTTAGATATGTTAAACAAATCTTACAATGTTTGCAATGGTGGCTAGGAATAACTTAAGAACAAAGGTAAATTACTTAATGCCTTTGTTCCTCAGTATGGAAATAGTGTATTTTGGAGGGTTATTTATTTTGATTTTTTTTTTTTTTTGGGTCTTTTTTCATTTTTATCGGTACCAGGGATCAAACTCACAACCGCCTGCTTGCAAGGCAGGTGCTTATGCTGCTGAGCTAAATCCCCAGCCCCTATTTTGTTTTTTTGAGATAGGGTCTCACTTTGAAGTTCAGACTGGTCTTAAACTCAGTGATCTTTCTGATCTTTCTGATCAGTCTCTAGAGTGTTGGGATTACAGACATGTGCCATCATACCTGGTTATGTGGTTTTTCTGGGTGGAGGAAGAGGATTAAGTAGATAAAATACGATTTATAAAGCAGTTGTGGTCCTTATCTGACATTTTTTTTTTGAGACAAGGTCTCACTATGCAATTCAGGCTGGCTTTGAATGCAATATGTACCCCAGGCTAACCCAGAACTCGTTGTGTTCCTCCTGCCTCAGCCTCCTAAGTGCTGGGATTACAGACATGTGCCATCACACCGGGCTCTCAGGAATTGTTTAATAAAACTGACTTTAGATTTGGGATAGATTTAGTTTCTTATCATGGCTTTGCCACTAGTATCTGTAAGATATTGAGCAGGTTATTTCATCTTTGTGAACTTTTTTTTTTTAGATTCTTTTATCTCTAAAATAGAGATGCTATCTACAACAGACTGTTCTGAGATTAGATGACATACATGGGTAAAATCCCTACCACATATTAGTATCTGGCAAGTTATAGCTATTTAAGATATCAAGCTAGGAAAGCATGCCTTGTGCTGATTTCATGAAATCTAAAACTTCTGTGCAATCTAGCAAAAATATTTGGTTGCAGTTGCCTAAAACTCAAAGTAAATGAGAATCATAACATTTAAGAGCTAGACAGAGCCTTATTAATTGCCTAGACCAGTGATTTTTCAGTTTAAAACCCCTAAGGTTTCAAGGGCATATCAGGGGCCCTTGGAGGGGCAAGGCAGAGCAGCTCTATTTTGGGGTCTAAGAAAACTCTATTAAAATTTGAAAGAAAACCACATTTAGACTTGCTAAACAAGTCCCCTGGGAAAAGGTTACTGTCACTCTTCCGAAGAGAAAGGAAAAACACTATTTTTTTCCAGTGCTGGAGCCACACTGTCATGTATACTTGGCAAACTGAACTACACCCCAGCTCCTGTATCACATGTGAAAGTATATTTTAAGGCTACATTTATTTTATAGCCCATTTCTTAAATCCTTCAAATAAATTTTCAACCAAAAACATATAATAGTTGGGTGTGGTGGAGCATGTCTGTAATCCCAGCACTCAGAAGGTAGAGGCCAAGAGGATCACTGCAAACTCAAGGCCAACCTCCACTATACAGAGAAATACTGTCTTAAAACCCAATACAAAAACACACTAAATTTCTAACAGGATTTATCTAGGGACTTTAATAAATATTAGAACAGGAATGATGTATTTTTTATAATAACCTCTCCAACACTGAACTTGATGCTATTCATAAATTAGCTGTCAAATACTTAAGAGAACAGAATAAAATCTACTAGGTAATTACCTTTCTATATACCTTTAACCCTTGTTTTCAAGGCTCATTGAAGTTTATACTGATACTTATATTGGTACTTAACTTTCAAGAAATAGTTCATTAAATATTTTATTTATCTGTATCTCAGCCAACAGACATTTGTTTCCACTTCTGGCTTTATAAGTAACAATGCTATGAACGTTTGGATACAAGTTTTTACATGAACATAGTTTTCACTTCTTTTGGCTAATTCCTGGATCATATGGTTAACTCTATATAATTTTTAAGAACCATAAGACTATTATTCAAAGCCACTACATTACATTCCTATCGAAAGTGTGTAAAGGTTTCAATGTTTCTACATCCTCACCAAGATTTGTTCTTTTCACTCATAGACGTCACAGTGGGCATGAAGTGATACTCCATTGTGGCTTTGATCTGTAGTGCCTTGATGGCTAATGAGGTTGAATCATCTTTGAATTTCCCATTCAGATTCTTTGCCCATTTTTTAGTTAATTATTGAAAGACATACAAAAAAAAAAAGACATACAAGTTTACATAGAAGTTCCTTATCAAATAGATGATTTGCAAAACTTTTTCCCTTTTTATGAAATGTCACTTCACTTGGTATACTCTGATGATTTTTTTGTGTGTGTTTTTCTGTGCTTTTGTTGTTGTTGAGACCAGGTTTCGATATGAGGTCCAGGCTGGCCTTGAACTTACAGCAATCATTGTGCCTCAGCCTCCTGAATTCTGGGATTATAGGCATTAGGTACTATTATGCCAGCCTCAAATTTTAAATTTTGCTAACATTCACTTAATACATATATTCTTCTGTTGCTTATATTTTTGGTATCATATTTAATATATGAGACCCATCTGAACATCATAAAGATTTATCTTCTTCTAAAAATTTTAGTTTTAATTCTTAATGTTTAGGTGTTTGATCCATTTTGTATTACATTTTACATATGACATACTCAATTTTATAGTCCTCTGTCCCAGCTTTGACATGGTAGATAACAGGTATGTTTCAGTTCGTATCAAATTTATTGTTCTTAAGTCATTGTCTGGTATTTCAAAAGTAACATGCCTAAAAGTGAACTTCTGATTCTCCCCCAGAAGATGTGCTCTACTTTCTTTTGCCCAGTTTATTTCTGCTTCTGCTATTAGCAGCCTCTAACGTTTTCTCTGGGGACTAATCCCAGCACCTAATGCAAGGAGGCACTGTACCACTGAGCTACACCCCCAGCCCCTTTTAAAATTTTGCTGTCTTTCAACTTATCTTTATTTACTTATTTATTTAAAACAGGGTCTCACTGTTCAGTTCAAGCTGGACTTGAACTTACTATGTAGCCCAGGTTGGCCTCAAAGTCTGCCTTCCTCCTGCCTCAGCCTCCTGAGTGCTGGGCTAATAGGTGTGTACTACCGTGCCTGGCTGGCCTTGAATTTATGATCCTACTTCAGCTGCCCCACATAAGCCCAGTAGCAGGGACTACAGGCATGTGCTATTGTGCCTTGCTTCCTGTTGAATTTTCTCTGCAATCTTGTGAGGAGAGGCAGGAATGGAGAGTGCGAGAGTCAGCAAACTTCTTGAATCTTTGATACTTTTCAATTAAGCTAAATATTACTTTACACAGATAGAAAGGAAAGGTCTCTTAGTCATACTAAAAGTCTTGATCCTTTTTATTAATCCACGTGTGATAGCTTTCTTGAGACTGCTCTATTCCAGATGCTCTTCTTGGTGTATAGTTGTTGGCTATCCAGCTGTTGGTGAATGGTCTTCAAATATAGTGAGCAGAAGCAAGTACAATACTTTATAGCCTGATGATTGGTTCCTCTTTGCTACAGCCTAAAATTACATTTTGCTATAAGCACTGTTTTACAACTAACTTTCCAGCTGCCTACACCCTTTTTTGTTTTGCTTTTTCTCTTTCACACTCATGCTAATCAGTCACACCATTCTCTTTGGCTCTTTACAGTCTGGTGCCAGCAGGGGAGGAAATCCCAGCACTAACAGCATGTGGACATGCTGCGCGCAGGCACTGCACTTATGAGGCCGCCGGCAGCCACCATGAGGCGCGTTACTGCCAGTCCTGATGTCGGGCTTCTACTGCCTCACTATGACCTTATCCTGAGTAGCCCATGGCCTCAATCTTTTTACTTAGAATACTAGAATATGGCCCTGTCACTTCCAAAGATGCAACAGCTGTGCAAATCATCCAATCTTGATCTGGGGGAGGAGGTGACAAAAAGTAAACCGAAACAAATGCAAAACTAAGCCAAATAAAATCTCAGGGCTCTTTTAATGCTCTATAATGGGAATGAGTCTAGTTTAAGTTCTTTAATGAGGATCTGTTAATTTTACGGGGCATCATATGCCCAACTTTTCATCTTTTCCAACTCAATCTTTTTTTTCTTTGAAACAGGGTCTCATTGTGTAGTCCAAGCTGGTCTTGAGTGTACTATGTAGCCCAGGCTGGCCTCGAACCTGTGGGTGAACCTTCTGCCTCAGTCTCCTAAGTGCTGTTTTCATAGGCATGCACTACCATATCTGGATATTGAATTTAGTCTTGAAAGGGTTTGACTTGATGGGTAGTCTTCTAAGTTATTTCTGAAATCTTGCATTTCTCCCAGGAGTCAAAAATTTATATATATATATATATATTATATTTTGTTGGTTGGTTGGTTGGTTTTTTTTTTTTTTTGGGTCTTTTTCAGACAGGGTCTTGCTTTGCAGTTTAGGCTGGCCTTAAGCTTACTTTGTAGCCTAGGCTGGTCTTGAATTTGCAATGATCCTCTTGCCTTAGCCTCCTAAGTGCTAGGTTTACAGGAATGAGCCACCACATGTGGCAAAAATTTTAATTTAATTTAATCTATAAATATACACTTAGTATGTCTTCATCCCATTAATAAATATAATTCACAAGGTTAGTCCTGGACAGAACTCTGTGACTTACCACTTATGTCTTCACTCAGGTTTTTTTTTTTTTGTCATTTTCCTTTTTATTGGTACCAGGGATCGAACTCATGACTGCCCGCTTGCAACGCAGGCCCTTATGCCGCTGAGCTAAATCCCCAGCCCCTTCACTCAGGTTTGACACAGCTCCATTAATTGGTCCCCCCCCCCCTTTTTTTTTTTTTGGTACCAGGGATTGAACTCACGACTGTGCGCTTGCAAGGCAGTCACTTATGCTGCTGAGCTAAACCCCCTGGTTTGCAATTATTAAACTAGATAAGATTTTCATTTAACTACAGACTTTTCTACTCACATTTATCAAGATTTTATTATTTTTTAAAAAGCAGAATGTATTTATTGAGAAAAAGAAAGCTTCTGTCTAGAGACAGACAGAAGGGATCCCAAGTGTGTTGCCAAGTATCCTGCCTTTGTCGGGGATTTTTATAGAGCAAAACCACAAGGTGAAGTGGGTCTGAGGTGGGGAAAAATGGGAACTTGCAAGATGCATGAGGGACAGAATTATGGTCAACCAGTAAGATTGAGTATAACTACTCAGGTAAGATTAAATTGGGATCCAATAGTGAAGCAAGTCATGTAGCAAGCAGGAACAAGGCTTCTGCCTGTATGGGTTGGATTAGTGGCTGCTTCTGCCTTCCTCAAGATGATCAAGGTATCAAGATGATACCTATTTACAATATCAATCCCTGATGTTTATACCTAAGGTGTGATTGCATTGTTTTGCTTTTTGTCTTATCAAGGTTTTTGAATTAGTACAAGTTTACATTTTCATTTAACTTTGCTAGCATTGTTATGTAGTTTGAAACATTACCTTTATTAAAAACCAGAACAGTACTGGGCATGGTGGTGCATGCCTATAATCACAGCAATTGAGAGACTGAGACAGGTTTTCTGTGAGTTCAAGAGCAGCCTGGGCTACATAGTGAGCATAATGCCACCCTGAACTACATGGCAAGACTCTCTCCCAAAAACCAAAACCCTCAAGCATTTGATAAAATAACTGATTTTAAATTTTTAGTGTGTTGTTGGTTTGTCTTAATAAAATCTGACCACCTTAAAAAAATCAGACACCAAGGAAAGATTCTGTGTTTCTATGGCTTATGTTTAGGCCTCATGTGATTATAGACGGTGTTTTATTTTGTACTGGCAATCACACTCATGACCTTGCATTTGCAGGCAGGTGCTTATGCCACTGAGCTGTATCCTTGGCCCCTAGATGGGCTTTTTAGAGGTGGCTGGATCTGTAGTGTGTGACACTAGAATTGATTCATGGCTCAGGGGCACTAGGATTAGGGCTGTCAGTGCTACCTACCTTTAGTAGTGTGGATAAAAGGGGCAGAAAGACGCTCTTAAGGTCCCTTGCTTGTTCTGCTACCTCCTGCCAGCTATGAACCATTTATCCTCTGTGATGCCTGTCTGCCATGCTGTCATGCTGCCTTGGAGCCAGCTGATTATGGACTGAAACCTCTGTAAAGTGTGAGTTAAATGAACCTTTCCACTGGGGATTTAGCTCAGTAGCTCAAGTGCTTGCCTGGTAAGTGTGAGGTCACGAGTCTGATCCCTGGTACCAAAAAATAAAATAAAATAAAATAAACCTTTCCTCCGTTAACTTTAGATATCAGGGATTTTGTCTTGGCAATGAGAAAAGTAACTAGGACATATATGGAAAGTAGAATTGTTTTAAACATAAATTAATTTTTTATTTTTGCTTTTTTAAAAATAGCCTTGCTATCTAATTCAGGCTGACCTCAAACTCATGGCAATTTTTTTTTTTTTGTCTCAGCTTCCCAAGAGCTAGGATTACATGTGAGCCAGCACACCTGGGATATAAACTTATTTACATTATAAACCATGTATTTCAATCTTAGGAATTTGAAGTTTCTCATACTTTAGTGGAAATTATTATACATAAGCTATTTTGATATGTCTAAGTCACCCTTTACCAATATACGTGACCTTTTAGATAGGAGCAGAACACTAAAATAAAAATACTCACTACAGAGATAACTAGTTCCTAAAAACAAGTGACACTTTTTAAATTAATGAGATATAAAATTCAAACAGCAACATGGCAATATGCCAGGTATACTCAGAGTAATAAGCAGGGTTAATGAGCTTTCTTATATATACAAAAAAGGAAGAAGCATTTGAAGCACATAAAAAAAAAAAAACAAGGAAAATTAGATAAACAGAAGATGAGGACTACATATTGAAGTACTTTTAAATCCTTACCTCCTCACAGCATCGCCTGCTTACAATAGCCCTATAGTCAATTCTATCCCAGAGCTGGTCCCTTAACTTTAAGAAATTAGGGAATAATTTTCTCCAGTTTTTCCCTAAAGCCCATGGAAAAATTTCATATTTGGATTCTTCTTCATCTTCTTCAACTGTATTAGCCAGATACCTAACAAAGAGGACCAACAATCCAAAAAAGAAATGAGTACCAACAAGAATGGTAGTTAATCAAAACAGAAATATCAATGGCATATAAACACAAAAGATGCTCAGCCTTACTCATAAAGAAATGTACAACAAAAACAGAGTTGTGAATTTTAGTTTGTTGAATTCTCGGTATTTTGTATTTCTTTAAACTTTGTTCTGGGATGCAGTTCTCTGGCAACAGTCTAGTTCTGACACTCATAAGACTTCTTAGGTAAATCCATAGAAGAGTTTGTTCTGGAGTTAATAACTCTCCACTGCTAAGGCAAGACCTGAGCACTTTTCTCTGTGTGTTGTGAGGTTTTAGTCCGATTATGAGAACAATCATTTCCTCAAGTCCTCTGTGAATGAATGTAAGGAAGACACTGTTTCCCCTCATCTTTTCTTATTATCTTTCTCTATAGTCAGATAGTTTTTTTTTTTTTTTCCTTTTATCGGTACCGGGGATCAAACTCACGACCGCCTGCCTGCAAGGCAGGTGCTTATGCCACTGAGCTAAATCCCCAGCCTCACTCAGATAGTTCTTTATACACACATGGGAATCGGTATTCTGCAGTATTCTAAGGGGAACAAGAATGCACAGAAGCAAAAAAATACAATCCATAGTAAGAAAAAATTCCCGCCGAAACCAATCCAAATTCACATACCTAAGGATATTAAAATAGTCATAAATATCCCATATACTCACAAAACTAGGCAACTTAAAAATGTGCTTCTGGAAAGAAAAACTAGAGTGCACAGTGGAAAATGCACTGAATGAGGTAACAGATTAAACAATGCAAAAGAAAACAACTATTAATTGAAGGCACAGCAATAGAAACTGTCTAAAATAAAATACACAGAAAAATTTAAATAGCTCAGTGGCACAAGTGCCTGTCTGATATGCATAAGGTCGTGAGTTCGATCCCCGGTACCACAAAAAAAAAAGGGGGGGGGGTGAAAGTGGAGTCATTTAAAGATAGCAGGCCCATTTGGAGAAATAATCATTAAAAATTTCAAAATTTGATAAAAAATGTAAATCTAAATGGAGATTAATGGACCCCAAGGCTGAAGAAATATAATAAAATTACACCAATGTACACCACAAACCAGTGATAAAAAAGGAACAAAGATCAGAATGGAGTGGATTTTCCATCAGAAATAATACAAGTCCCCACAGACAAGTTCCCAGGAAAAATGGAATGGTAATTCACAACAAAAATATTCAGGGGCTGGGGATTTAACTCAGCGTCATAAGCGCCTGCCTTGCAAGCAGGCAGTCGTGAGTTCGATCCCCGGTACCGATAAAAAGGAAAAAGACCAAAAAAAAAAAAAAAAAAAGTATTCAGGGGCAGAAATAGACTGTGAAAAATCTTAAGATACTGCAATAACAGAACATAGAAATAACTGTCTAGTATGTGTAAAAAATTAAAAGTACCTTGATAATATAAAGGGCTAAGCGCATTTGAAAAATTACAAAATAAGAGCAAGGTGCAGTGCCACACACCTGAACCCCAGCACTCTGGGTGGCAGAGGGAGGAAGTTCAAACCTGGCCACGTCTTAAGATGATGTAGCTCGGTTCAAAACCCCTGAGTTCAATCCCCAGTACTGGGGGAAAAGAGAACATGTTAAAATGAAAAATTTTAAAATAAATTAGTTAGAATACTAACACATAAAGATAAAATTAGTGAATTGAAAAGTAAATCTACAAAAGTTTATCGAAAGTATAGTCCAGAAGCCAGGTTGTGGTGGCACACTGGGGGCTGAGGCACTCAGGAGACTGAGGCAACAGGATCACTGTGAGTTTGAGAACAGCCTGAGCTACAAAGTGAGCAAGGCCAGTCTGAACTGCATAGTGGGACTCTGTCTCAAAAAGATAAAAAACAAAACAAACAAAAAGTATAGTCCAAAGAAACAAAGACAGAAATGTCAAAGAAAAGTGATATGAGAGACAGTGACGTGTAACATATTCAAATGATTTTAAAAGGCAATAACAGGAGATGGGAAAGGAGAATATCTGAAGAGATTGTAACTAAAACCTTCCAAGAGTTGTTTGTTGAAAGATAACTATCTTTAAAAAAGAAAACTACTTCTAAGATAACAATATGTAATTTATCAACTAGTGAGTTCTTGTTATTTTTTTGAAATTCTGTATTATTTCTACCCTTGTTTTTCTTTTTTTCTCTAAAAAAGAAAAGATAACTATCTTCAAAGCCCATTAAATCTCAAGCAGGTTATAAAGAAGAAACTCATGCCAATACTATAGAAAGAGGTGTTCAAATTAGCCAGAAAGGAAGGCAAATAATCCCAAATGGACCTGACCGCAGGAGAAGGAATGGTAAAGACATAAATATGTGGGTAAATGTAAACAAATATTAAATGCATAAATAATTCCTAAAGTTCCCAGTTTGTTGTAGGGCGTCCTGTAGATTTAAAAAATTGCAAAACAAGATAAATTGGATTAAAGTGATTGTACTTAAAGTGTTTAAGCTTCTTATAATAAAAATACTAGATAATTGCTAAAAGGTACAGACTGCATATTTGGAAACAAGCAGAGGAGAAAAGATGTGAAACAAACAAACAAACAAAACCTCAGAAAAAGATGATGAAATGGAGAAAAGAGAAAAAAATGGGGCAAAAGAAAGCATTTAAGATGACAGGGAAAAAATTCAAATATATAAGCAACACTGAAATATTACTCAGTTGCAAAAATGAACCGACTTCAGATACACACAGCAATATAAAGGGATCTGAAAATCATAACGTTATAAAGCAAAAAGAAGGAAGTCATCAACTATTACAGACATCTAACAGTGCCCAAAACAAGACAAATCATGCATTATTTTGATACCTAACACAGAATAAAAGAAGGAAAGAAAGAGTCTGACAGAGAAACGATAGGTAAAATTCCTTGTTTGGGTGTGTGGTACTCAGTAGAACCTAGAGTCCGGGGCTTGCTGGGCAAGCACTCTACCACTGAGCTACATTCCTAGTCCTTAACATTCTATTCTTAAGACGTCATAGTGAGTATTACTGTAATTTTACTTTTATTCTTTCATACACACAACCATAGTTCATATTTTACATTAAGAAAATTAAAAGTGGGCCAGAGATATCGCTCAGAAGCACAGTGCCTGCCTGGTAAGTGCAAGGCTGTGAGTTTGATCCCCAGCACCAAAAAAAAAAAAAAAAAAAAAAATATATATATATATACACACACACACATATATATATATAACAAAATAAAACAATAAAAGCACAGAAGGATATGCAACTTCTTTTTAATGTAATAAATAACACACAAGTTCATACACAGAAAATTATTCCTAGACAAATTTCCATGAAACTTAACTTGTTCTTGAGAAAGGGGGCCAAGTTACAAGATCAGAGAGAAGACTTGCTTTGTACTTTTTAATCACATGCATATTCATAATATAAAACAAAGCCTACACATTATTTTATTCTCCCTTAACACAGTTATACATACTTGAATACTGCCTTATTACACAGTATTATTTAAAACTCATTCATTACATGAGTCAACCCAGGTCCCCTGTGATATTACACACAATAATTTCTTACTCTGGCTTCTCTGCCAGCTCTTAGCCAAGGGTAGGCAAAGCTTGAGTTTGGCTCCACACATGCCTGCCAACTAAACAATGAAAAATCTAATAATGCACTATGGTGCTGTATCACATCATGATTTGACTCTATTGTTTGTTTGTTTGGTTGGTTTTTTGAGACAAGGTCTGGCTACATAATTCAGATTGGACTCAAACTCACTGTAATCCACCTGCCTCAGCCTCCTGAATGCTGGGATTATAGGCATGTGCCACCACATCTAGCTTCATGATTCTACTCTAACAATTCTTCAGGCTCAATGTGGCAAAATATGTTCATCACATACGTGGAAGTTATTCTCCAATTTGAAACAGATTACTTTATGCAGAGCCCATTTCTTTTTGTCCAATAATTACATTTATTCAAAGACAGAATTAAGAACCTATGTTAGTCATTGAAGGGTAAAAGAAAAATAAGATGCATGCTCTTTGTTAAAGGGCCTACTGTTAAATAGACAAACCAAATGAGTATGAATCTAATCTGAAAGAGAATATGGAAGAACAATAATAGAAATTTAAGAGTGTTATAAAATATGTAGAGGGCCTGGGATATAGCTCAGTGGCACATGCACCAAGTCCTGAGTTCAATTCCTAGCACCCCCCTACCAAAAAAAGTATAGAAAGGAAACAAGATAACAGAGTTAGGCATAGTGGCACATTTCTCACAGCATTTGGGAAGCTGAGGCAGGAGAACTGCCATGCATTTGAGGTCAACCTGAACTACATAGTGAGTTCTAGACCAGCCTGAACTACACAGTGAGACCCTATCTCAAAACAAAACAAATAAAAAAGAACTATGGCCAACAGAAAGTAATGAGAAAAGCTACTGAATCAGGTCATATAGAAAGTATGATTAAAAACAGAATGTAAATCATAATTCAGATTTTAAATAGCTTAAATACAACATGCAATACAATCTTATAGACTAACACATAGTATACGATGAATAATGCTTTAGTGGTAATAACTTTAAAAAAAACAAGTGAGGCCTGGGGCACAACTCAGTGGCACAGTGCCTGCGTGGCAAGTATAAGGTCCTGAGTTTAATTCTCTGTACTGGAAAAAAAAGGCTGTTAGGAGAATGGCAGGTTTGAAACTAGCCTGGGCTATATAACAAGACCATCTTGGGAAGAAAAAAAAGATAGGAAAAAAAACAAGTGAAATGAATCCAGTTTCAGGGTGCTAAAGGTGGGCAAGGTGGTGCACACTGTAATCCCAGTGCTCAGAGGCTGAGGCAGGGATTGCCAGGAGTTTGAGGCCAACCTGGGCTACACAGTAAGTTGAAGGCGAGCCTGGACTACATAGTGAGCCTTGTCTCTAAACAAAACAACAGCAAAAAAAAAAAAAAAATTAAAGCTTCTTTTAGTTTGTTTTAAATCCTTGGGGAGAAAAAAACTCTATAAAATAGGCATTACATCAATATACAGATATAATACTGACACATGTAAGCAACAATTTAACTTAGTGTCAACAGCTGAATTCAGTCACACCTGAATCTGCATCTCAGCTCTGCTGCTAACATCTGTGATTTTGGAAAGTACCTAAGTCTTGGTTTTCTTATCTGTAAAATGGGATAATAAAAGTTTATTTCATGGGCAAGACTAGATGTATTAATATATAAAAATTTTGTGGTACCTTCCATTTAATACTCAATATAGGCTAATACTGTTATATTTTTTCAATTTAGTAATCACCAAATTTTAAAGTGAGTTCATTTTTCCCTATGTAGTAGCAAATATCCCTTTAATAAATACAGAAGTCAGTTTTTAAAAAATCTTATTTCTTTAAAATTTTACTATTACATTCCCAACTGTAACACTATATTCAGGTACAGGGTAAAAAGACCCAACCATATTATTTTTATTTTTTGGTGCTGGGAGTAAACCCAGAGTTCCACATATGACAAGCATTCTACCACTGAGCTGCACTGCCAGCCTCCAGTATATATTCTTAAATTATAATTCTAACCTATGGACTGAAAAACCTTATCGTTAAAACCATTTAACAGATAATAATGCCAGGATAAATTAGTGTAAAGTCAGTGGAAAACTGTGCTGTTTTGTCATAGTTCTGCATATTTAGTAAAATTATTGGTGGATACTAGACACATTAAATATAAATAATTTTTATCTTATGACCACAGACACTCAAAAACTATGTCTAGAGCATTTTAAGCTAAGCATGTTGTTACCTACCCATAGCTACACTACTTGGGAGGCTGAGGCAGGAGGATCACAAGTTTGAGGCCAGCCTGATTCTACATACCAACTTGAAGGCCATCCTTGACTACACAGTGAGATCCTTCTTAAACCACCACCCCCAATCCAAGCTGTTCAGTGCAAGAGAGCAATTGTGATGGTAACTTTTATTATCTATTCAATCTCAATTTAAAAAGAATATTCTGGCTTTGAAAAAGTCTAGGTCATAAACAGGAGAATTTGGAACAATTTATGGGAGCACCCTGAAGAACATAAAAGGTATAATACAAATTCAAGTGGAATACTGAATAATAAATCTTAAGAAATATGATAAGATCAGTGAAAAGAACATAAAATTTTCCTATTAAAGTGAAAAATGTATAGCTTTTATACAGAAAGGCCTACACAAAGATATTTATAAAGTTTAAATAACTTCTGCTTTAAGTATTATTATATATATTATAAATATATAAAAGCATACTTACAAAGCAACAAAGAAATTTATCCTGGTATGCTCATTTATAGTAAATTTAGCTCTCTTGAAATAAACAAAGGTCATAGCCAAAAGATACTATAAGAAAAAAAGTTAGAAATTAATAGTTTTACTAACTACATTTAATAGTTATTTTTAAAATTTTCTGATGAATATACTAAAGGATTTATCTTTATTACAGAATCACTTATTTTTTGTTTCCTATAATTAATCCATATACTTAGAAAGTTATGATTATGATTAAAATTGATTAGATGGACTCCTACATTTTATTACAGTGAATAAAGTTTAAAACTTCTTTTAAAACTTAAATATGAAATCTACAGAAAGTTGAAATAACAGTAAAGTGAATAATTATATACCTTTTATCTGCATTTGTATTTGCAGCATTTGCCTGGTATCTCTGGGTATGTACATACGCACATGAACTTTCTGCTGAATCTTCTTAGTTACAACACTAATACTTTTTTCTTTTTTAGCAGGGTGCTATTTTGACTAAGAGTGGTCTGGAACTCCTGGCTCATGTGACCCTCCCAGCTCAGCCTCCCAAGTGCCTAGACTACAGGCATATGCCACCAGCTCAGGCAAACTCACTTTTATGTGCTGGAGATTATACCCAGGACCTCATGCATACTAACCACACGCTGTACCCCAGCTCCTATACTGTGGTGGTGAACCCAAAGCACGTTACTGTGTTTTGTTCTGAAGATAAAGTATGTTAATGCAGAAGCTGTTTTTCTATACTAAAACCTCAGGTTTCATTCTAGTGTTGGCATTTTGCATTAAGTGGACTTTGGGTTATCGTTTGGCACTCAGTTTCGCCATCACTGTCCTGTACTTACACACATACACACCCTGTACCAGGGACTGAACCCAAGGCCATGTCCTTGCTAGGCAAGCACTGTTCCACTGAGCTACATACACACAATCCTCATTTCATTTCAGTTTGAAAGAGGCTCTTGCTAAGTTGCCCAGGCTGGCTGACCTCAAACTTGTCATCTTCCTGCTTCAGCTTCCTGAGCAGCTGGGATTACAGGTATGTGAGCCTGATTTTATATTCCCTTTTTTCTTTATATATTCACTTTACAAAAGCACCTGCTTCTAAATAACAATCAGAAATTAGAATAACATAGCTTTATTTAATGGTGAAAGCACATTTTAGATACACAATTAGAAAGATACACAGCTAGCCTATTAGAACATGTCAAGGTCTGACTGTTCAAATTAGAAATGTTCTAATATTAATGTATTATTTTCTTTTTCATAAAATATTTATTCAACTCATAGTCCAGGATAGGATACCAATATGATTCCAAGTTTTTATAACTCCTACTAAAGGATTTTTGAAACAGTGTTAAGATAATAATACTCATGAGACAGGCATAGAGGTTGAAGCAAGCTTGAGACCAACCTGGGTTACAAGTGAGCTCAAGGCCAGCCTGAACTACATAGTGAGACCCCGCCTCACAAACACTAAATAAATAAATAAACAGAATAGTCTCACTTAAGTTTTCAAACACTGCCCCCTGCTGTCCAATGGCATTAAATAAATAAATAAATAAATAAACAAATAAATAAAATACACCTGCTTAGTTTTCAAACACTGCCCCCTGCTTTTAAAATTGTAACATTTAAAAACCTGATAACTGGCTGAGGATTTAGTTCTCCAGTGTAAGTGCCTGCCTGGCAAGAGTGAGGTTGTGAGTTGATCCCTTGTACCAAAAAAACAAAAACAAAAAAACACAACTTGGTAACTCCACAGAAACAGGATATTTGACCATAAAGTCTTACTTTTTTTTTTTTTTTTTTGGTACTCAGAATTAAACTTAGGACACAAGTGCTTGCTGCATTTCCAGCCCCATTACTGGTAATTTTAAAAATAATTAGTGACACTGTGATTATGTTTTAAGACAGCCTTTTTATAGAGATACATAAGAAATATTTATGGGGGCTGGGGATTTAGCTCAGCGGCATAAGTGCCTGTCTTGCAAGCATGTGGTCCTGCGTTCAATCCCTGGGACCAATTTGAAAAAAAAAATTATGCATATAATGTTAGGATGTCTGGAATTTGCTACAAAATAATCCAGTTTTCAGAGAAGGTTTAAAACAACGACTGTTAGTTCAGTAACTTTGTTTTGTTGTTTTGAGACAGGGCCTTATTATGTAGTCCAGGCTGGCCTTGACCTTATGGTGACTCTCCTGCCTTAGCTTCCTGAGTGCTGAGAGTATAGCTGTGTACTACCAGATCTAGCTAAAAAGGTTTTGTTTTGTCATTTTAAGTGTGACAAAATGTTCAATTTAGTGGGTAATCATAAGCTAGCCTTCAGATAATTCTTTTTTCTATCTGTACATTTTAAGTGGGAAGTGAAATTACGCTGAGCTTTCTAAATGGGGTCTCACTCTGCAGTTCAGACTGGCCTTCGACCACTGTGGAGCCCAGGCTGGCCTTGAATTCTCAGTGATTCTCTGGTCTCAGCCTCCCTAGTGCTGGGATTACAGCCATGTGCTACCATGCCCAGTTTAGCAGAATTTTAATTATTAAGCTAACTCAAAAAGCACAGTGCTGGCATGGTGGTAAGGCCTGTAATTCTAGCACTTGGGAGTTTAAGGCAGGAGGATCACCAAGAGTCTGAGGCCACCCTTGGCTACATGAGTTCAAGATCAACCTGAGCTACACAATCAGATCCTATCTCAACTAAGCAAAAAAACTAAAAATAAAACAGAAAAGCACAGAAACAAATAATGTTAATTTGTGTCTATCAAAAGAAAAAACAAACGAAAACACAACACCATAGAAATATTGGTGCTTCTAGTTAAGACTTTTTTGAATTTTATTTTAAAAACAAAGCAAAAAAGGATAATACAGAATTTCAAAAAAAAATAGGAAATTAACACTAGCTAGTATGTTACATATTGTTATCTAATCTTCCAGTAGATAACATTCTTTTCTGAAACACTGATTCCTAAATAAACAACATGTTATTGGCATTTGTTTTCTTGAATTACAAAATATTAAAATGTACAAGAGATTTCCTTAGTGGAGTGAAATCTCCCAATATTTTCTTCCACAATTTGATTAAAAACAGTAATTCTGAAGGAAAAAAGAAAAAATAATTCTGATCAAAATGTATATATTGAGTCATATTTTTAATAAAAAAGACAAACATAAATGTCTAGTAACATAATGCTGGTTAATGATTATCTTGATACTAAAGTTACCTTGTCTGCAATTTTACAGCAGCAGTCCATCCATAAGAAATCTTGAATTAGATCGTCATCTACAACAAAAGATAGCTTTGACTTGCTTTTCAAAACTATTGTCTTTTGAAAAACTAATTTGTTTTGGAAGATTATAAATAAAGCTCGTAAATCAAATGATAACAGGACCAAAGCTGTCTAAAGTGTGCTTTTCAGTTTCTTAGAGTATTTACCACTGTACAAAAACTCAAGTGCCACCTCCTTTTTTCTTTCTCCCTGATTTGTCTCACTAGAATATGGTTCATCTTTGAGGGAGAATAGTGTGTCTTGTTTAATCTTAAAATATGTTGGTAACTACCAAAACACAACCTAGGACAAAAATATGTAGTTTAGGAAACTAATTTTTTCCATTTCCTCCTTCAGTTTAAGTAAGTGCATATTCAATTTTTTTTTTTTTTTTTTTTTTTTTTGTCTTTTTTGAGACAGGGTCTCACTATGCAGTTCAGGCTGGCCTTGAGCTCACTTTGTAGCCCAGGCTGATCTCGAACTTGCAACGATCCTATCTCAGCCTCCTGAGCGCTGGGATTACAGGCGTGAGCCACCACGCCCGGCTAGAAAGTGAGTCTTCATGTACCATCTTACTGTGGGTCCAATAAAACCCATACCATGAATCTGAATTTTTGGTATCTGCGATACTTGGATTTAAATAGTCTAGAAGCTAAATGAATGTGAATTTTTAATTCACAAAGTGAACCAAACAAAACCCAACATTAAGAAAAAAGTAAAAACAAAATCAAATTTGATTATAGATGAGAAATTTCACAAAGGAAATAACATCCTTTTTGTTCATTATGAAACTTATAAAACAAGTTTAAATTCTAATTTTAAGTATAATTATGCTATTAGTACTTTATCACTATGAAAGTAGTAAAACAAAATTTATAACCTAATTTTTAAGAACTTTAAAATTATGCTCTTAAAATATTTTAAACCTACCAAATAATTTGAAGAAAGCTGTCATTTCCTGACGCTGGATAACTAGACAAGGCCCTTTGGGGCGTTTGCATTTGTTGTTGTTATGTGTACTTTTGTCAGAAACTTGCAAACTATCTTTAAAAATACTACGCTTGAGATTAATTCTAGGCTGATGTGACCTATTTGACCCGGGTTTTACATGAACAGTGACAGTAGGTGGTGTCTCACAACACATCTGATTGTGCCTCATTTTGGTTTCAAGATTCCTGTAAAAATAAAACATACAATTATTTACCACACTCACTCATCTCTGTATAAAAATCAATTAGATATTACCCAATGTGGTTATATAAATGTTATTGAACTATTTAAAATGTTATTTGTGACAGTGACTCACATTATAAAGTGCTTTTAGAATTTAGTGCTAGGAAAAGCTGGCCTCCTTTGGGTGACTACATACTTCCCTTGGCATAGCTCAGTGATAAAGCACTTACCTAGCAAGCATGAAGTCCTAGGTTTGATTCTTGACATAAAAAATAGATGAAAGTGTATACAAATACACAATATTATGATTTAATAAAATCTGAAACAAAATTGATAATCCACCAATATTTAACAATATACATTGTCATTACTTTGGTGGTAATTAGTAAACACAATTACTAAAGCTATCTTTGGTGAACTTTGGGTTCAAAATATTTCTAGTGTGATGGAAAATGAAGGTTCAAAAGGCGAATCAGACCCTAATGAGAACCTCTGAATCTATGACTCATAGTAACACAGGCAGCCATACTTCCCTTGGTATTGTTAGGTACAAACTCACCTTCCCAACCCTGAAAAGATTCCTTGCAGGAGGAAAGAATGAAAAATACCACTGGGCATAATGAAGATACAGCAGCACTGTCCAATATACTGAGAGTTGCACATATAATTTTATATTTTTAGAGACATTTTTAAAAAGACAAAATTTAACATTTTTGATATAACCAAATATATGCACAATATTTAATAGTAGCAAAGTTTCACATTTATTAAAGGTAGAAAAAAGCAGGCACTAGAGTGAATTTGGGCCAAATAAAAGTAAGACAAAGCAGAGAAAAAAATACACCCTACAATGAAGAGACATAATAGTACATCCAAAATAGTTAAAATGTAACTAATATAAAAACTAATGAAATATTTTACATTTTAAGTCTTTGAAATCTGGTGTGCTAGTATGTATTTTGTGCTTTCAGTTTGTCTCAATTTTGATTTTTTTGTAGTAATAGGGATTGAACTCAAGACCTCTTGCACACTCAACAAGTATGTGATCACTGAGTTCATCACCAGCTCTGAGACTAATTTAACAGTTTCTGAGACATATAGTCCTATCAAAAAAACATGTAAGGAAAGAATATTTTACTCTTTCAGGTTTAGACTTAAGGAAAAATTTAGTTCTTCAGTTTGCACCAGCTACAAGTGCTTAACAGTGACATGTGGGTAGTGGTTTCACTACAATAACCAGGCAGGGAAAATTGTAACCAATTTTATAATTGTAATTAATTTCTCTTCCCTCCCCTCCTTCTATCTTTCTTCCTAGATCCTAACGTCCAGCCAAGCTGAAGGCATTTATGGAGCCGAGGGTGCATGGTACTATACTCCACAGAAACATGAAAAATTGAGTCTTGAGACTTGTGTAGGAACCTCCTATTCTTTCCTACCCATCTCTCCTGGAAGATAGCTGGAGGGCTCATCTGTGTCTTTTCCCAGTAAAAACAGCCTTACATCTCGTGAAACTTTTTTTTTTTTTTTTTTGGTCTTTTTCCTTTTTATCAGTACCGGGGATCGAACTCACGACTGCCTGCTTTCAAGGCAGGCGCTTATGCCGCTGAGCTAAATCCCCAGCCCCCAAGCAGCCTCACATCTACATAAAAAAAATCTAAGAGTGGTCAGGTTTCTCAAACTGGGGTGGCAGAGGTAGGTAGGCTTAGGGGAGCCATGCAACAAATACAGAGTAACCACAGCACATATTTCAGGTTTTTACTCCACAGTAAATGATTCTAAACTGTTTTTACATTAAAACAACCATTGGATAATGAAGAAATAGAATGCAAATTTTCAGTCAATCAAAAAGTAAAATGTTATATTTACTGTAGGTCTCTATCCCATGAAACCATTAATATGTATGTATTAGGATACTCCATATAAAATTTGAGAAAACTGAAAGGAGGTATCTTAAATTCCCAAATAGAGATTCACTGAAATCAAATATTGGTAGAAAACTTGAAAAAGAGTTGAAGGAGACAAATTATCTGTGCTACAGTCAATTCCACTTGAAGGTAGTTTTTAATTTTGCTAGAAAGAGAGTTCTGACTGTAAGAGAGGAAAAAAGGGAAGACAAATTAAAATATGGACCTTTTCTCCAAGGCAACAGACAGGGAAGAGGGAATAAGAGAAACTATGCTTATGTGGCAAAACTTTTAACGAATTTTTATTTGGATTCTACGAATGTTTTAAAAAAGCATACCACGGGACTGAGGTGGAGTGGTAAGACCCCTGTCTAGCCATCTATGTGATGTCCTAGGTTGGATCCCCAGGGCAACACATCATCATCAACCACATCAAACTCATACTTGTATAGGATGCTTGCAATTTTTATTTTTTGTACACATACTCGAATTCCAGAAGCACCTTAAACTACTGGGGATTGAACGCAGCCCTTACCATAAACTGCATCCCCAGTCCTGTTCCCTTCCCTTTTAACTCTTTTTTTTTTTTTTTTTTTTTTTTTTTTTGAGGCAGGGACTCATGAAACTTTTAAACTACTCCGGCAGGGCTCAAACTTGAAATCATGCTTCAGTCAGTGTGGATGCTTGTACAAACGAAGAGTGGAGCAGCGTCGTTCTCGTTCTCACATCGTCTCTTACCGTCTGGGGATCTTTCAAGGAAAGCACAGTCTTCGGATGACAGGGAGCTAAATTTCACCTCAACTGCTAACTATAACTTAAATGTTAAAATATTTATTAATAATGCTGGTTGGTATTTTAAAATACGCTTATTTGAGAGAATAGGTAGACAGACGTAGACGATCTGTGAAATTTTTTTAAATATGAGATTTTTTTTCTTCCTGCTTGAGGCCGGGTGGCCGCCAGGCGCGGTGGGTGGTGGATGTCCTGGAGGAAAACCTTTATTTCCCCACTTTGGAGAGGGGCTCAGGGCGCACCGGCGAGAGCGCGGCTCTGGCTCCCGCCGGACGCGGACGAGGGCGGCGGGCGTCCGTCTCAGGGCCCCGCGGAGACGGCAGCCTCCTCGGCCCGGCCCCGCCCCGCCGCTCCCGGCCGGCGGCCGCCCACACGCGCGGCCTCGGGTCTCCCGCCCCGCGCTCCCGACCCCTGGGCCCCAGTCCCGACCCGCAGCCCCCCGGGCCTGGGCCCGCCCCGCGCTCTCGCAAACACCAGGCCGCGACGGCACCTGCGGGCTTCCCTGCGGGAAGAGCGTGGGACGCAGCCGCCGCCGCCGCCTCACGCAGGTGGACGCGGACTGCCGTGAGGGGACGGAGGGAGTAGGAGCAGCTGACACTGGACACTGGCCCGCGGGTCCGACCGCGGGGGGCGAGCGAAGGTACCTGAGGGCCCCGGCGGGGACGCGTGAGCCGACCTCAGCCTCAGCCCCAGCTCCAGCCTCGGGCGGTTGCGCGCTGCGCGCTCCACTCAGGACCGCCGGCCCTCACCGCCCCCCCCTGGCGCGCGGCCAGCCGGACCAATCAGGGCGCGGGGCGGAGTCTGGGCGGGGCTGCCTCCTGCCGTTACGCCTCCGGCCCCGCCCCCCGGCGAGGTCGGGGCGCAGCGCGCGAGGCCTTCCGAAGCTCCCCGGGCTTCTCCGGACACTCGGCCCCAGTCGGGGTCGAACCTTTTGGCTTCTCTCCAGTGAGACGCTGTAGATGCAGGGCTGAGGCTGCCGGCGCTCCCTCATCTCTACCTGTTTGCCTCAGGCCCGCGCCCCGCACTCGGGAGTCACATCCAGAAGCGAACGTCGCAGCACAACTGAATGACCTGAAACGACGAAGAGCCCGCTTAACCCGGAACAGAGTGAATAAAATGGCTTTTTATGAGGAGAGGTAAAGTATTAGTAAGCCCTTCGTGCTCTACAAAGGGGACTTTTCTCCCTGCCTTCATCCCAAGTCCTTGCCCAAGTCCGGGGGCGCGGTGGGTGTGCAGTGAACAGACGCGTGCTGGATGGAGGATTCTTCACAGCTTCCCTCGCTCGACATCTTTTCCCTTTCTAAGGTACTAACTGCCCCCCACTTTTGTGTTATCACATCACACCTTTTCATGTTGCTAGTCTTTCATTTGTAATTACTGTATGATTCCAGAGTGGATAAACCCTATTTATATCATTCTTATAGACTGCTTCCAGATTTTTCTTCCTTAATTACTATTATAAAGCAAGTTGAGCCTCGCCTATTGGTGGTCCTTCGCAGCAATTAGTAACACTGATGACTGAGTGTTCCCTTCTTAAGATGCTCACAGAGCAAGAGGATGACAAGTCACTACTACATGAAGAGAAGGCAATCTGACAGTTTTTCCTAGCAAAGGCCTTTGACATTTTCTTCCTGGCCACGAAATGGGAGAACGAGTCAAGAGGCATCAACTGGTTGTGAAAATATTCAAGAAATGGCTGCTTCCAGTTTATTTCTCCGGCTTCTCCTGAGGATCCTCTCTCCTACAAGGGAGGAGTTTCCTGTGACTGCTCATTTCCAGCCTTTAGTATAACTGACTTACTGAATAATGAATATCCAATACAAGGATGGTTCCACCCATCTGGGATTTCCCGTTGATTCTTCTAAGCATGGGACCATTGTATTTCAAAATGAGAGTCAAGGAAAATACCACAATAATGAAAACTGCTTGCCACTGTCTTTCTCAAACTTCCTAGCCAGGTATAAACACAAGTAAAACAGGCACTAGAAACTGTGCTAGGGAGATGGATATTCTATACAATACAAAAAACAGTTGAGTGAAGGTACTCAAGATCCCAAAATCTTCACAATTCAATGTTTCATAACATCTGCATATTAAACCTGGCAATTGCATATAAATTATCGATAGAAGTTATTGGGGAAGCAGCTCATTAGTTTTGGCTTTAAGCTAATTCATGAATGTTTTCATTCCTAGCTTTTTAACTGTTTTGGCAAATAAAGTCAACATACTTGAGAATCAGACCTGGTCTGAATTCAGGTACTACTGTTCCACCTGCAACAGGAATGCAATT